GTAAACTGAGGCCCTGGAAAGGAAGCAACTTGCCCGATATTGCACAGTTAGGGGCGTACCTGAGACCAGACCGCAAGGTTTCTGACTCCAAGGCAGATGCTTCTCCTGTCCATACTGCTTCACTCCGTAACCACACTCCCAGCCCCAAATAACAGTATTATTATTTATTGGGCATTAACCATGTGCCAGGTACTATGCTAAAATAAAGGCCTTCCAAGCTTGTTCCAGTGAATCTGGTACCAACCGTCTGAGGCAGGCAGTACTATTATTCTCATTTTATAGGGGAAGAAGCCAAGAGTCAAGTGAGTGAGGTGACTGCTCCAGGTCACAGAACTCCTAAGTACGGAATGGGCTTGAAACCCCGGCTCCTGACCCAGGCTGTGTGCAATCTAGTGCTTGGAGTTAAAATGACCCAGGGACGTCCCCAGTGGGCTTCTGAGCGGAGGCGCGTCTCTCAGTGAACTTGTACCCTCGGGAACGCCTTCAGACCGCCCCCACAGTCAGGCAGCACACGTTCCACAGACCAAGGGGGCTCCCTGCTCCCCACCTACCTGGCCAGCCTCCCTTTTTGCCGCTTCTCATTCCAGCCAATTACTCCTAATGGAGTGATATGAAATGTAACTAACTTGGGGAAATATCTGTATACTTTAATTAAATCAGTTCGCAATTAGCCATCTGAGTAATGAGGCTAAGGTGTTTTATCTCCCTGTGAGCCAGCGGGCCAGGGGAGCCAAAGGCAGAGGGATTTTGTGCGAATGGCATGGTCCTAGTGACAGACTCCTCAGGGGTATAGAGGCAGGTGCTGGAAACCCCAGGAGAGGATTTGGCCCAAATTTACTATGATTAAATAAATACAGCACCTCAGAGAGGAGCTACTAGGAGCTATTTGTAGGACTAAATTTTTAATGGCTGCAGCCTGTTTTTCTTATTAAAGAAATACCAGGGCCTTTAATCCAAACACCTCGTGGCAAAGTGCTAAAAATTGCCCATGTCCACTGTGTGACCCTGAAGTCCCCAGACAGGGCAAATGCCTGACTGCACAGATTGGCCACTGTCCAGCAACAAGCTCTCAAAGGCTCCTTAAAGCTGGCAGGGCAGGGTGAGGCCGGTCAGGGATTTGCACTGGGCGCAAAATAAAGGCCCCAAATACTCAGCGGTCAAATAGTAGTATTTTCACAGAATATATTTTAAAAACCAAACTTAATGCAAAATTTTGATGATAAGCAAAATTTCAAAATTTTAAATTAAAGAGGGTCATGCCATGCTGAACCATCTGGGAGTCGGAAGTAAAAGGAAAAATCAGTAATATTGATTTTCTTTATTAAAAATTTTGATATTTTGTTCAACATGGATTTTTTTTTTATATTAGCTTTGATTTAAAAAATATTGCATTACAGGGGTGCCTGGGTGGCTGTCGGTTGAGCGTCCGACTTCGGCTCAGGTCACGATCTCACAGTTTGTGAGTTCGAGCCTCGTGTCGGGTTCTGTGCTGACAGCTCAGAGCCTGAGCCAGCTTCGGATTCTGCGTCTCCCTCTCTCTCTTCCCCTCCCCTGCTCACGTTCTGTCTCTCTCTCTCAAAAATTAATAAGCATTAAAATTTTTTTAAAATATTGCATTACAGTATTATGTATCTTAATTACTACCTTTTTGGCACCCACTCGTATTCCTATGGGCAAGTGCCTCACTTACCTAATCCTTGTCCTGGCCCTGCCAGCTGGGTTGCCTCTAAGAGCTGGTGTCTCTTTTGGTCAAATGGCCATTCTGTGGGCCCCTCTAGGACCCAGCTGAGTTCTCAGGGGCTCTGTGTGGTAGAATTTATGGTGGCAGAGACAAGGGTGGCACTTGGAACCTTAGATCGTTAATGCAGAGAGCAGTCTCATGATTGCTCCAGCAAGGCCCAGAGACTAGAAGCAACTGGCCCAAGGTCACACAGCAAGTTTGTGGCAGAGCTTGAACTGGAGCTGGGTTTTCCTGATTCCCTACAGGGCTGTTACTCATCAGAGGAGAGCTGGGATTTTCAGATGACTCAGGGCGAAAGCCGTCAGAGAGTTGCCCTCCATGAAGGGAGGCCCTGAGAGAATGGCCCAGGGTCGATGGTGCTGATGGGTGGGCCTGGCTCCCACACACAACCCCTCTCTCCCTCCCAGTGACTGGTGCAGAGGTGGCCATGTGACCCAGTCCTGGCCACGAGGACACAGCAGAAGTCATTGGCTGGAGCTAATGGGGACAGAATCAGCTGATATCTTTTAGATCTTTTTGCCCATTCTCTTCCCCCTTCACATCTTGACTTATACTCTGTGCCTGGGAGTGAGCAGCTGCTTCATGGCCTTGAGGACAAAAGCCACAGGCCAGAAAGAGGAGAGGAACCTGGGTCGCAAGGCCCCTTGAACCCTCTGTCCCAGCCCTGGGCTGCCTACTGCATCTCTTATTCAGTAAGTTAAATTATTGTTCTCTGCTCAAGCCATGATTAGCTGCATTTTCTACAGCACTCACAGCTTGAATGCTGTCTTAGCAGCTCCATCACCCCTGGTACTAAGATCAGCTTTTGGTGAAATGTATTTGGTATTCACATGGCTCACTCCCTGCTTCATGCAGGTCTTTGCTCCCTGTCACCTCCTCCGTGAAGCCTTCCCTGACCACCCTAACTAAATAGCAGCTCCCATCACTCTCCGTGCCTTTTCTCTATGTTACTTTGTAATGGTTCTTGTCCGTCTCTACCTGACGATATGTGATGTGATTATTTGTTATTTGCCTCCTCCATGGGAGTTAGTTCCACAGGGGCAAGGCTCTTCTGTTGGCCTTTTATGACTGTATCCACAGTGCCTAGAACAGCAGTTAGCACATAGTAGGTCCTCAATAAATATTGTTGAATGAATGGACATACTCTGGGCCAACTGGGTCCTGAGCCTTTGCTCCTGCCTCAGGCATCTGCCAGCTCTCCAAGACAGCAAGTTAACATGGTCCTTGAAATTAGAATTTCCACTTCCTCTCTGGTTCGGGTCCTCGGTACCCAATTGTGAATTCTTATTATTGACCCCTCTGCTCTCCTGCGATGGATACCACTAGACACCCCAGATCTTAACCAGCTTGCCTATGGGCTCTGCCTCTTCCAGCCTTGTCTCACCAGATGTCTACCCTGCCCATGCGCCATGATGCCCTGTGGCACCCTCTGCCTGCGACATCCTCCCCATCTTTCTTCATCCCCAGCCTCCATGTCATTGTTCTTGTGGGATCCCAGGCGGTGACGACGCTGTGCGAGAACTCTCGACTCTCCTGTTGACAGTACATCAAAAGCCATTACCTCCTGGTTCTGATTTCCAAGATGGGAGCCTGCCTCTAAGAAAACAAAACGAATGGGTTTGGTGTGCCAGAATCCATTAACTGGCTACCCGAACTAATCAACAGCAGGAATTCAAGGAAATTGCAAATTGAGAAGCCAGATTATTTGGGTCTCTTGATTGAGATCGGAAGAATAATTGTCTGAGGGTTCCATTTAATAAGCTTTGTTTACTAACCCCAGATCTTGTTTTGATATTTCAGCCTCAGTTATTGGGGGTATGCCCACACTAAAATATATCATTGTGCCATTGTTGCTGGTAGGGACCTCAGAGCTTCTCTACCCACATCCTTTCATTTTATAGTTAGAGAAAATGAGGCACAGAGAGGGAAAGCAACTTCCCCCAAGGTCTCCCAGGGATTGGAGACTCCCAGCTAAGGGACTTCTACTTCTGAGAAAACCAGCAAGAGGTTCCAGTGGCCTCAAAAGGAATCTTTCTCACATGGCCATTAATGCATCCTGAAAGAGTTAAAGAACCAAATCCCCTCACCATTTAAGGAAATACTTGGTCAAATGTGATGGGAAGGGGCAGCGTGTCATTGTCTCCTGAATCTTCTTTGGAAGGTAAACATGGCTGCCCCCCTAAATACCCGCTTCTGCCAAGGAGCTGTCTTTATCTGGTAGTTACGGAGAATGCCACGGAGCCAAAATATTACAGAGAATCGCCACACGTGAGGGACAGTCTGGAGAACCTTCCTTGAGTCCTGGAATTGCCCAGTTCTGTAACAGCCAGGGCTGGAAGCAGAAGAGACAAGGAAGATCATGGTTGGGGGATGTCAGGGAGGTTTCCCCTAGGAGAGACTCTGCACCTGAAGAGCAGGGTTTAGGGGACAGACGGGTGTTTATTATCAGTGGGAAACCAGTGGGTGATGAGATGTGTTCAGGGAAAATCCATTCTACACGGTTTGTTGGAGCATCCTCCCCCCACCCCTTTTTAAAGTAGGTTCCACACCCCGTGTGGAGCCCAATGTGAATTTGAACCCAGCAGTGGATGTCTCCTTCCACTACAGGATATGCAAATCACTTATAATTGGAATCCCAGGAGTGGGGCTGCCACACGTAGGGTTGTGGGTAGGCTCAGAGTACTGCAGATATCACAGTTGGGCCCTGGTTCCCTCTACTGGGAAAACCTTTCCAGTCTTCCAAGAAAGCCTCCCGTCCCCTCCAATCATTCATGTATCCATTCTTTTGACCAACAGGACCATCACCTTCTCTTCTGTCAGGTGCCATAAGAGATACTGGGAATGTACGCAACGGGATGTGGTCCCTCCCCTCCAAGAGTCGTTGAGCAGAGACCAGATCTGTCCCTGTTTCTGCGGCTCAAGCATCATCAAATGACTACGTTATCCTGACCAACTCGGTCACTCAGCCCGGCATGCTTAGCGGCTCGGGCACCACGACCCCCTTTTGCCACACGCTTGTGTTCATACCATCTCAGCTGGCACTGGTTCTTTTGAGCAGCTGGGCCCCATCTTTAGTTAGGAATCAGTTTTTGGATTGCTGAAACTCCAGGGATTTTAAACAAGAACGTGCTGTTAAGTGTCCCCCATCCTATGCTCAGCCAATTGATGGTTTGAACTTAAATGGGAAACCACGTTTTTCTTTGTCTGTTAAACTTCACCTGCTTGCATCCAGCCTATTATATATATTTTTCTTTTGTAGCCCATTAAGGACTTTTCCAGCCCCAATTTTGCCACGCAACGGTTTCTGCAATGCCTGGAAACAAGGAACGTGTGCTTTGAGAGTCTCCCTTTAAGGCAGTAACAGGTAGGAATGAAGAGAGATAAGGGTAGGCCTTACAACACTTCACCGGTGACTGCCTTCCAATCAGTTTCCCCTACTGTTTGTGTGGGGTTGACTAACCAGCCGTGAATCTGCGTATCTAAACTCTCATCTTGCCTCCTCCCTCCATTTTGTCTACAAGGCTAATGACAGAGACTTAAGAAATGCTTCCTAGCAATCAAAATGCATTATGTCTAAAAGCGTCCCATCAGAGGGAAACCAGGTGAGTTGAGCATATGCCTTTTCTTGCTGAATTCCCACTAATTCTTAATCGTCATCATTTCTTTGTTCCCTGACTGCTTATAAACCAGGAGAATACGATTACTCACAAAAGAAAGTTCTAGGAAGGGAGACAACAGGTTTACACAGGTCAGGGATGGCAGGATTCCACTGTAGCAGGAGCCCCAGCTTCCCCCACGGGCAGCAGGAGGAGGTGCAGGAAGGAACTAGCACAGGAAGCTGCATTCGGGAAGGTGGTTCCTTCCCGAGCAATCGGAAGGAGCTGTTCTCACCACAGGACGTTTTCCAGGAGAAAACTCTTTAAAAGCTGAAACTGGAAAACATAGCCAAAACAGAATGACATGGGACATTTCATCTGACCTTAGGAGCTAGGCCCCGGGAGAGAGTGGTCCATCCAGTACTACGAGGGCTGAAGCATGCAGTCCTGTCCAAGAGGCAGGTTATACCCAAGACATATAACCCAATAATGGTTCTTCTGGGAGCTAAGATAGGAGAGGGAACATGAAAAGCAGCTGGAACTATGGGGCATCATCAGAGCCCTTATACTTGCAGTCATTGAAAGGTCTGACTTTTTAATACAGATGTGCCCCCCCTTCAAGTCCTGGTTAATAGCCACCTAGACACCATGCGTCCAAATCTCACAGGAGGACAGCCACCTGAGGTGGTATTTGCCATTAGTGATATAGGTTGGGTTTTCCAAATCATGCCACCTGGTGGTCATTAGGAGAATCACAGGACCGGTGGTCCGCATATGCATTGGTAAGGGGGTGCATCACATAAATCACTCAATTTGCAAGAAAGCACGCCAATTTGACTTAGTGTTTGTAAAGCCACAGTAGCTATTAACAATTCCAGGTGGTGAGAAAAACACTTTGGGGGGGGGGACAACAACAAAATAGGTCAGTGGACAGAAATGTAAGAGGAGTATTTGTATGCTGGGGATGGGTGGAAGGGGTTGTCCACACAAGATAGAAGACAAAAGGGAGAAGGACAAGAAGGAAATGAAAATGGACCAACTCAATGAGATTGGAGGGATTCCTGATCTGTGGCTTAGACCCTGGCTAATTGTATCACTCATAGGTGTCTCCCTCACTTTACCCCTTAATTTAACTCAACTGGCTCGTATTGAACGCAGAAGTAAGTGCTTCGCTAGAGGTGAGCAGTCCCGAGCAATCGGGAGGAACTGTTCTCACCTCTTCATGAAGCTGCCCGGAGGGTTTGGCTCCTGAATTCGGTGGCCTGCATGGGGTCTTGAAGAGATGTTTTCCTACCTCATGCATTCTTTTTTTTTTTTTTTTTTTAATTATTAGTTGTGGTAAAATACACATAAGTTTACTACCTTCACCATTTTTACATGTACAGCTCAGTAGCATGAGGTACATTCACATTGTGGTGCAAATATACCACCATCCATCCCCAAAACTCTCCTCATCGTCCCAAACTCAAACTCAGTAGCTGTTAAATACCAACACCCCTGTCCTCCCTTCTTCCATCCCCTGGAAACTACCAGTGTGATTCCCCTATGAATGTGGCTGTGTCAGGGACCTCACGTAAGTGGAATCGTGCAGGGTGTGCCTTTTTGTGACCGATTGACTTCACGTAGCATAATGTCTTCAAGGTTCATCCTTATTGTCGCCTGTGTCCTCCCTTTGTAAGACTGAATAATACTCCCTCGTATGTATATATGCCGTTTTGCTTACCCCTTCATCCCCTCGTGGGCCTTTGGGTTGTTTCCACACTGTGTCTGTTGTGAGTGATGCTGCCGTGAACACGGCTGAGCAAACATCTGAGTCCCTGCTTTCGCTTCTTTTAGGGAGGCGCCCAGAAGTGAAAGTGCTGGATCATATGGTAATTGTATCTTTAACTTGGGGGGGGGGGGAACCGCCCATACTGTTTCCATAGCAACCTCACGCATTCTTGTGAGGAAATGCCACCCCTACTTAAGCCAGACACAAAGTCCCCCAGGGAATGAGAACTGGAGCCTTCTGGAGATGGAACACCATCTCCGGTGAAAAAGAAGGGCTTGTATTTTTCGAGTTTCACCTCTTGCTTCTCTGTCTCCTAACTCCCACCCTGAACATGAATGGCATCCGTATATTGAAGCCAAATTTCAAACCCACCAAGGCTGGGGCAGAGAAGAGCCCGGACTCCCTTGGTGGGATTGGAGGAGGGCAGAGGCCCAGATAGTAAGTTGGGGTGCACAGCCCTCTGTCCACGTAGTAAACACATCATGTGACCCTGGGGGGATTTGGCAGCTGTATTGAGGACTCATCAGATACCCAAGGAGAATCAGGTTTACACATTGAAGAAAAGTCCCCTCCAACCACTATCTCCTTCCACCCTCGCCGCCCCTACTTTGCTTGGAGAGAGGACAGCTCCTCTTGGAGCAAAGAGTAGTTTAACCGATTCCTGCCATTACTTGATGCCATCTGCAGGGGGCAGCCTGGCACAGAGGAAAGTGAGGCTTTGGACTCCCAGAGACCTGGGTTTAAATCCTTCCTCCACTGCCTACTGTTCATGTGACTTTGGACATGTTCCTCAATTTCTTTGAGACTCATCTCAGAGTCCTTAAGACCAACGATGATCATGTTGACCTTTCCCCTGCTGTAAAGATGACATGACATGGAAGGCGTACAGTTCCAAGCCCAGCACCCAGAACCTAGGGATTCCATGGATATCCCTGCCTTCCTTCCTCTCCTGTCCTTCCTCAGTTGTTGACTTTGATCATGTTCTGCCAGAGTCCTCCTCTCTCCAGGCTTCCGTGGCCAGTCTTCAGAGGCCGTTTCTCACCAACAGTGGCTCCATTTTTTATTATTCCCGGATGGCCTCTTGGTCCCCGATTAGCTCGGACACATCTCTCTGGGACCTCCCCATCCACCGGGTGACAGGGGCGGGGCGTGAAACCACCCCCACTGGAGCTAACCCCAAAGCCAGGCGGTGCTCTCTGCTCTGCCGTCTCCTGCGGCTGTAGATTGTGCGAGGAGAGGGCGGCCGGCCCAGGTGAACACAGCCTGCCCAGGCCCAGTTTCATTTGGCTTTTGTTAGATTGGGTTACAAGCTTAACGTTACTTAACTGAAGAGGACTTTGGGGTGTGTGTGCATGTGTGTGTGTGTGTGTGTGTGCGTGTTTGCATGTGTGTGTGTGTGTGTTAATAGCAATTTGTGATAGATGCCTTTGGCGCCCACACATTCAATAACACCCACACTCACAAAAAAGAAGGGGGGAGGGGAGCCGTTTTATGGGAGATAACATAACTGCTTGCAATTTGGCTATTCATTGTATCTTTGGCATTTTATGTACTGCATTAGCGGAGGCAATTTCATGCATATGGATATAATGCATTAAGTGGAGGCATTTAAATATAGTGAAACTAATTTTATGATGATTAGTTGAAGGAAAACATTGCATTCGTATCATCTATATAGAAGCCAATTTGCATGAAAATGCCCAAAGTTGCTATGCCAACATTTTCTGTGCTGCTGGTCGGGGTCGTCTCCGAGTCAAGACTTTGTATTAAAAATCGGTCTCCAGTGCCCGTGTCTTTTAATTCATTGCAAGCTGTAGGCCATTTGCTCACAAAGCGCTCGCAGTAAAACAAATGAATAGCTAAAATACTCATTTGCATGATTCCCATTTGAAAACGATTCCCCTGAAATTAAAAAAGCGTGTTACTCGGTTGTGAAGATGGATGGGCCAGTGAGGCGGGCAATTAATATTTTCGGCGTTCTCTTTAAAGCCCTCCCAAGACTGAGAACAGCACATGCCAGACAAATTGGGCCCCACAACAGTTTCAGGGCCTCGGCGGCAGCAGCTTGCTTCCACTGTCTCCCCTTTATTGTCTCACTTACATTATGCAGTAATTAAAACTATTTACCATTCCTACTTATCCGCCATCTGCTACCACGGAAGGTTCCTCTTCTTTAGAAAGCCTTCTTAAAGAACCGAGGAGAGAGGGGAAGGCTTGGCACTGGCTGTGGAAAGTGGTTCCAGCGGTCTTCCCCCCTCCCCCTGCCACGTCCACCTGTCCCTCCGTGAAAGGAAAGACGCAGTGATGGAGGAGGTCATGGGTGTGATACCGGTGCCTGAGCGAGCGGGTTGTGTCAGAAGTGGAGGAGGTGTTAGGGTACAGCTTCCTTCATCTTTGGGGGAGAGTCTTGGTTTAGATCTGGGGTGATCCATAGGTGTAGGGGAAGCCTTGGCCTGCATCGTCAGGGCCTGGCGCCTTTGACCATGCAGTTGGGCTCTGGGGCAAAGCCACCAACTACAGTTGTCCAGGTTGTTCACTGCACAAGTGTGCCCAGCCCAGGGCGCTATAAAAGCTGAGGTCCGTCCTGGGATCCCTGCACCAATCTGAGGTCCTGTGGGGCTGTGTCTGCCCTAAGACGGCTCCTTCTTCAAGTTCACACAAAGGCGCTCTGTGACCTAGCTGTGGCCTTGTCTGAGAGAAGCCATTTTGAAAGCAACCAAGTCGCTGCCTCTTTTCTGTGGCAACTGCCACCCTCAGATTGGTTCAACCATGGGGCCTGGCCTTGCACATTGTTTGCAGAGGCGGAGCTGGGATGTCCAAAGAGCAGCCTCCTCCACAAGCATTTTCATTTCCTCCTGGGCCCAGCTCCCTAAGCAGGGAGAAAGCAAATGCCTCGGGATATGAGGACGGATTCTCACCAGGACACCTGGCGGCCCAGAGCCTGCCCCGGGAGGACAGGGACTGTGTGGGGAGTGCTTTCCTCTCCTTTCCCGAGCGTGCCCAGTGCTGGGCACACAGCACGTTTTCCAGAGTACTTGTTGAATGAAGTCCAGGGTGAAGCTTTTGGTTCTGACGTCACTACCCTGGGGTGAAGCCTCTTCTGAGACTTCACCCAGCAGACTTAAGACTCACACCTCACCTTCCCATCTCAGTGGTCCTTTTCCGGAACCTAGCCAAAGGGTTCGCACTTGCCTAGAACTGAGCTTCCTGGCTGTGACTCTTCCGGCCCCCTTCCTCACTAGAGGCATCGAGGCCATGAACTCCACATCTGGCCTAGGACCGAACACCCCTTCCATCTTCTCATCTCCGGGAACCTCACCTCTGCCTCTCTACACTCCCAGCCCCAGAGACCGCTGTCTCCGCCTCCGCTAACTTATGTGGTTGCGACACCTCCATCTCCAGGTGGCTCTGGAGCCTCCTGGCACTGGTAGGTCAGAGAGGATGCCTGAACATTCAAAATGAAGTCATAATGCTTTCCTGAAGATGTTGGTTGCAGGTGCACCCAGGAAGGGTGAATTTCAAACAAGGGCTTTGTCCACCAATGGTGTGGATGTTAATGGCCTTGGAGGTGGTGAGTCCCACATCATTGTCCCTAAAGGTGTGATGGCATCTGGGAGTCACACATCAGAATCTCCACCCCCAACCCAGAGGCCCCTCCCAGGCACTGGGAGCTCTCCTGTTTCTAGGCTAACTAGAAACTCATTCTCGCTAATAGGACACAGAAGGAATGGGACTGGACGGTGCAGGTTATGTAATTAAAGCAAATACACACGTGTGGGGGAAAAGGCAAGCTTTAACCCAGGGACCATTCTTTCTAAGGCTCGGCCACAGTCAGGAAGGGAGCAAGGAGTGCCTTCTGGGGCCTCTCAAATGCTGTCACATCAGCGGATGCTTATACCACCAGCAGGAACTGCCTGCCCCAACCTTAGCCCCCATCTCCCTGGGCCCCTGCAGACTGGCCAGCGTGCCAGACACAGCCAGTGTGCTGGAAAGGGCCCTGACCTTGGCCATAGCCGTGGGTTGGAATCTCCCTCTGCCACTGATTGTCTGACCCCGGGGCAACCCTCAAAACTCTCTGCTAGTCTCAGTTTTCTCATCCCCTAAATGGGGTTTCGTGCATGCCTGTCTTGAGACACTAGTTAATGCTTGCATCATATTTCAGTGCCCGGTCCATATCCCCAGAGCAAGACTGTGCTGTCCTGGAGTAGATGCAAGAAGGAAGCATCTCGTACACCGAGTGCGGCAGGTGCAAGTGTTTGAGGCTGTCGGTTGCTCTTCCTGACACCTGCAGAGTCCATCGCTGCAATTCAGAGCCAGGTGCTTGAAAAACCGAGCCGGGCCTTGCTGAGGACGGGCCGCGTGTTTACGCCCAGAGCACCCACTCTGCGCCAAGCCCTGTGTCACGTGAGTAACCTCCCTCCGATTCTTTTTTTTTTTTTTCCCAGTTTATTTTTGAGAGACAGAGAATGAGTCGGGGAGGGGCAGAGAGGGAGGGAGACGCAGATCTGAGGCAGGCTCCAGACTCCGAGCTGTCAGCACACAGCCTGACTCAGAGCTCGAGCCCAGGAACCGTGAGATCATGACCTGAGCCCAAGTCGGACCTAAGTGACTGAGCCACCCGGGCGCCCCCTCCCTCCAATTCTTGTGGTCCTCATTCAACTGATGGAAAAATTAGGTTGAGTCCCAGAGCCCAGTGCACTTCCTAACTTGCTGTGTAACATCGGGCAAGTCACTTGCTCTCTCTGAACCTCCATCTCCTGATTTCCACTGCAGTCTCCCTCCCCGCCATGCCTTTCAAATTCTCTGCTGGCTGCTAAGCTGCATCTCCCGGTAAATCATTGGGATTATCATTGTGAGGCTTTGTTGTTAAGACATGAGTGAGAGAGAGAAGCATTCCTAGTCACCAAAGAAGACATTAGTAAAAGTAACCCCCAAAGCGGGAATATGGAAGGGAAGGGGGAGAAAGGGGCAGAAAATGCAAAGTTAACCCCTCCGAAACCGCCTTGGAGGGATTGGCTGGAGGAAAAGAAGGGGGGGAAAGCCTAATACCCACTTAGTAACCACCACTAAAGATCAATACTGGACCAAAATAGAATCCCACGTAGGAAATGATCTTGCTTCACAGCCCTGGGAAAAAAAAAAAAAAAAAAAAAAAAAATTTAACATAGAGAAGCCATTTAAAGCAGAAAAAATATTTGTATGTAAAAGGAAATATTTTAGGTAGGAGTTGAATACCAAATGATTTTGGGTCTCTGTGGGGAGTAATGAGGCATAGCAAACACACAATTCTATATGCATGTAATATTATCATCGCACGCCTCGGAAAGCTTTTAAATCACAGAAATGCAGTTAGGGACCATTGTACAAAATAAACATCCCACTTGGTGTCTTGCCTGCCCTAAGTTCCTTGATCTAGAGCAGCACTGCCAGATTTTTACAGCCCCATAAATTAACGTGGTGCTGATTTGATTGAGCTAAATTAATAAGACTTGTGCTTTGTTGCAAAATAACTATTACAGTATGTTGTGGGGACGCACTGCCGATAAGGAAATTGCCGCCTTTAACAATCCCACTGAAGTTTCATGGAGGATTTCAAAACCGATTTTAATTAAAACAAAAGCCGATGTGTGGCAATAATGTGGGTGTTAAGGAGAGAAAATGCAAAATGTCTTTTTAAATCCATTTTAATATGTCTTAAGGACTGGATGATCGATGTGGTGAGAGCCAGCGGCTGACATCATGCTGGGATGCTGCCTGTGTTCCCTGCTTCGGCGACACTGGCACTTTGGGCCCGCCCTCGGGCCTCTGCGCTGGCTCATGACTTCCGGGGGAGGGGTCATCTCCTGAGTCGGGGCTCCAGGGGACCAGCAGAGAGGGCTGGTCCAGGAGCCTCAAAACTGGAGCCACTAGGGGCCTCGGGGTTGGAGGAGGCAGGAATCAGGGCCCGCAGTGCCTCTGGTGCTGGACAGGAGTGTGCGTTTGGTTGGTCAGCCGGCCAGAGCCACCTTCAGTCTCAACTTCTACTCCTCCGTTCCGTTAGCTGTGAAATGGGAATAATGCTAGAATTCACCTCACAGAGCTGCTGTGAGGCTGGTGCCTGGCGCACCGATGCCTGAAAAGGTAACTTGTTGACCGAGGAAACCCCAGCAACATAAATGCTAGTTTCCTTTTTACTTGTTTTAAATCCGAGATGGTTAGCCCTTACCCAAGGTCCGGCTGTACACAAACGACACACAAAGACCAGGCAGTGATGTTTTGAGGCCCTGTGATGTCCTGGGTGCTGTTCTGAGCAACTTGTACGCATGCGCTGTCCCCCGTGAGGCTCAGAGGTGAAGGGAGGTGTCTGTATCACACAGTGTCATCAGTGGTGAAGCTGGGATTTGAACTAGGCCCGAGTCACCCCAGCACCCTGCTCTGAACCACCAGTGGCCTTCAAACTTCTTTGAAAAATAATGCATTTTCCCATATGACCCAGTGTATACAAACACACACCCTTATAACTAAAGTAGAAGTTTCACAAACGTAATGTTTTTACATTACGGATGATGCATATAATGTTTTTATTATTCCATTTCTTTCGTAAAAGAAACTGTTCATGACTCGCTTAATGCTTTTGCAACCTGTACTTGAGACTCAACCTTTGGTTTGGAAAATGCCACATGCACTTGTCACTATGTGGGAGGCTTTCTGTGTGTACTCATTCGACCAGCCCACCTGCCCAGGAGGTGGGTAGTGGTGTGTCCATTCTAGAAACGAGGAGCTGAGGCTCAGGAGGGAGGAGTGGCTTGGCCGCAGCTCTGACCTTGCACCTTGTGATCGTTGTGTCTCGACCACTGCTACACCATATGCTCCTTTGGGGAATTACCACATCTGCCTGGTTCTTTCCCAGTGTCTGTCCAGTGCCTGGCATGGAGCAGCCCCCCACCCCGGGCACTGTTGAGTGAATGAATGAGTTGTGCGGCCAAGCACCAGTTCCCATGCTGGGCTTCCATAGTCCACCAGGCTCCATGCCAGAATTCTCTCTGGCTTCTCTCCGTACCCATCCTCCCTCCTTGGGGACAGACCCTCCTTGTGTCTCCCAAAGGCAGGGCCAGCTTGGTCTGGCAGGCCTCTACCAGGTCACAGGTTACAGCCGACAGGACTAGAAAGACTTTCAGTGGGAGGGGAAGGGCTCTCTCGGGGACTCCAGTAGGGACACCCTGCAGGTGACCGCCAGGGGAGCCCAGAAGGAGGAAGTTGGAACCATTCAGAGGAGGCAGAGGGGAGAGTTCACGGGAGCCGTGGAACTGAACTGATTCTCATCAGTAGGAGTCTGTGCGGAGGTGGAATCAGGTCCACATCCTGGTAGGGAGGCCGAAGTGTCCTCATTGGTTAATGAGGAGACATTCACAAGGCAGAACCAGCAGCCTTCTCCGGAAGTTTGCCTTAAACACAGATGGAACTTGGTCTGCCTGTCAACTCTGCTGGCCCAGGACTTGAGACCGAGCTGTGGGATCTTAACCATCCCAATGAGGGGGTCCTAAGGATCCTGATAGCGCTCGGGTCTGGTGGGAGGCCCAGCAAGAGGCTGGAGTGGGAGAGGGGTGCAGACGCAAGCTCCTAGGCATCCTGAGTACCTAGTGAAGGGCTAGGAGCTGTGGGGAGACCCTGGGAAGGAAGAAGGTGAGAAGAATGGACTGGAAGGGGGCAAGGCCCCTTAGGAGGCTCTCCAGTCTCCAGGCCCAAAGCTCCTTCCCCATAGGGAAATGTCCATCTCCCCTTGCCAGGGACACGAGTCCCCTGGCTATTTCTTCCTTGGGTTTTATACTGAAGTGGCTGCTCTGTTCTGTTGTAGAAGATTCCATGTGCTCCAGCAGCAACAAAGAGGAGACCCTAGCGGATGGATGAGCCAGCACTTTGAAGAGCTGGGTCCCGATGCCAACAATAAGGTAAGGTCACCTCATCCATGCCCTGGCCAAACTATGGCTGCCTCCTTCTGCAGGACACAAGAAAACCTCCTCTCTAAATCATACCTGTACCATTTGGGCTGTGTGGCCCACAGTTGCTCCCTCCTACTCACCACATAGCAGAACGATGAATCTCACCACTTTGGAGCCACCATCCCTGCATCTAAACCCCAGGTTGGCTTCTTCCTAGCTGGGTGATCTTGGGCAAGTTATTTCAGTGCTCTCAGCCTTAGTCTACCCATCTGTAAAATGGGATACGAATTCTACTTATCTTATAGGGCTGTTATGAAGATTAAATGAACCCATTCAGATGAAGTGAGGGCATCTAGTAAGCACCGGCAGGAGGTAGAATTATCATTTTTATTATCTTCTTCCTCGTACATGCACTGAGCAGGGTCTTAGCAAGGTCTGTACTGGGGGTGGGGGTGGGAGCCTGGGATAAAGAGCTGCATAAGACAAGGGCCTGCGTTTAAGGAGCTGAGTGCCCAGGGAGACAGATGGGGAAAAGCTGAAGAAATGCTGCTCTGGGACCACGACTTCAGACTCCAAATTTAGTGCTTCCCCTAAGAAGCCACAAAACAAAGATCCTGTCTCCTGCTTGCTGCTGGCACCCATTCCCCTCCCAGAACACCGGAACAGAAGGAACCCCACACATGTCAACTGGGCTTTTCTCTCTTTCTAGCTGGGGAAACTGAGGTCTGGCCGGGAAGGGGCTGGCTCAAGCCTTGCAGGGATGAAGTCAGACCCCACTGGGACCCAGCTCTCTCTGCTCTCAGACTGGGGCTCCCCCTACTTCTCAGAGGAACCCAACTACATGCCCCCTCTTTTTGTTGCAGGAGGGGTTGAGAGGCAGAGAGAATAGAAGCCTTCTGGACGAGGCCCACTCATTCTCACCAGGAGCTCTTAGACCTGGCATTCACTGGATTTTTCCTTTTTGTTCCCTCATTTCATCTTTTTTTAAAAACAAAGTGTAATTAACATACAGTGTTATGTTCGTTTCAGGTGTACAATATAGTGACTTAACACTTCCACACATCACCCAGTGCTCATCCTGATAAGTGTCCTCTTAATCCCCTTCACCTACTTCACCCACTGCCCCCTCCTCCCCTCTGGTAGCCTTCTGTCTGTTCTCCGTATTTGGGTCTGTTGTATTTTTGGTCTCTTGTTTTGTTTGTTTTGTTTCTTAAGTTCTACATTTGACTGAGATCATCTGCTGTTCATCTTTGTCTGGCTTATTTCACTTAGCATAATACACCCTAGCTCCATCCATGTCGTGGCAAATGGCAACATTTCATTCTTTTTTGATGGCTGAGTAGTATTCCAGTGTGTATATTCACCACATCTTCTTTATCCATTCATCAGTCAGTGGACACTTGGGTTGCTTCCATATCCTGGCTACTGTGGATAATGCTGCTTCAAAGACGGTGTGCATGTGCCTTTTGAACTTCATTTTACCTTTTTTTTTTTTAAATACTTTTTTTTTCAACGTTTTTTATTTATTTTTGGGACAGGGAGAGACAGAGCATGAACAGGAGAGGGGCAGAGAGAGAGGGAGACACAGAATCGGAAACAGGCTCCAGGCTCCGAGCCATCAGCCCAGAACCCGACGCGGGGCTCGAACTCACGGACCGCAAGATCGTGACCTGGCTGAAGTCAGACGCTTAACCGACTGCGCCACCCAGGCGCCCCTGAACTTCATTTTACCTTTAAATCATCTTTTCTCTTCCTCTCATTTTAGGGTCTTACCATCTACCTCATTTTTTCTAATCCCACATTACTATTTGGACTCCCTTTACCAATTCTCCCATTTTTTGCACTTAAATAATTAATTTACTGTCACTTTGACGTTTAGAACTGGAGCCACTCTTCTGGTTGCTCCAAGCGAGTCCCTCTCACTTATACAGCTTTGTATCTCCCAGATTCTAATATCTTATTTTTTAAATCCCATTGGTTTTGTTATTCATAAACTCCCTATTTTCAACTCTTGAGTTCCTTTTAATATTTGTTTTTAAAAATTTCTATCATCTTATTCTCATTTTAATTTTGACCTTTTATAATTCTCTTATCCTACCTTTATTTTTAAACACCATTTATTCATTTTTGAGAGAGAGAATGGGGGAGGGGCAGAGAGAGAGGGGAACAGAGGATCTGAACAGAGGAACAGAGCCATCTGTGCTGATAATGCAGAGCCCGTTGCGGGGCTCGAACTCATGAACTGTGAGATCATGACCCGAGCCGAAGTCAGATGCACAATTGACTGACCCACCCGGGCGCCCCTCTTATCCTACTTTTTATTATTTCTCCATTCTTTATTTTCTCGTCCTCTTTGTAACCCTTTTTACCTGGGAGTGGCCATTTATGACAGACAGCAAGATGAATGGGTGCAAGGGAATCATAATGAAGAAGGGACCTGTGCATACCTGGGGGTGGGTGGATGCGTCAGCTTCCCACTGTTTTTGTGGCTGGCAATCTAACATGTCCATTTAAGGAAGGGGCATTGTATCCCTCAGTTAACTCAGTGTGGTCACAGGACTGGTTCTTTGGAATCAAGTTACCTTCTGGCCATTCGTGTCAATTGAGACTTAACGAAGAACCACAGGTCTTAAAACCCATAATCTTCACGGTGTCAAGGCCATGGATTTGGAACAACCGTGCCAACAGCATGTTTCTTGTCGATGGCGCCTCCTGATATCAATCAATTTTCCACTCCTTTCCCCCTCCCTGACCCCAGTCCCACCTGCCATCATCTCCCACCCTGTCCACTTCAACAGCCTTTGGACTGTTCCATCTAAACTTGCACTGTCTCCAACTCCACACAGCAGCCACGACCTTTATCCTGGTGTGACATCTGACTGTGTCATCCTCCTGCTTAAAAGCCTCCAAGGACTGACAAAACAGTGGGAGGTTAGGAGAATCAGGACCATCCTTCCCGGAGAACACATACCAATTACTCAGGCGCATGAGCAGGGCTCACAGTTAGTGGGCTAGGAACCCCCACCGTCCTCAGCAGGACTTTTTGCCCAACAGCCACCATCCATCACTGCCACTACCCACTGGATTGGGCCATCCTGCTTCCTGCTTTCGTTTCTCAAATTGAGAAAACATGCTAATCTAGTGTTGTGGAGAAAGCATAGAACACCCTCTGTTTCTAGCAATATGACAGTTTGGGTCATTTAGACTAACCCTCAGGGTAGAAACAACTATAAATGCTGAACACAATGAAAGATATCTTCTTACAAGCATTAAAGAGCTGACAAGAGAGTAAAAAGCTACAAGGCCAAAACCTCATTGACAGCAGGGGCTCTGAGAATGCTGCAGCTACTTGTGCCTTAGGGCATTTGCCCAACCAGCAAACTTGAGCTTCGGTTTTGACATTGCCAAGGGTTCAGGGGAGAGAATATAAAACCCATCAGCAAAGATGGGGAGTCTAATAGGATGTTCTCCCTCATAAAGGTGGAACTCCAAAGGGAAACCCTCAGTGTATGTGTGAACCAAAAGAAAAATTGCCCAATCTCTCCCACACCCAGGGACTGTGAGAAAAATTGCCTTGGTTCTGAGCAGAATAGAGAGTAAAACGAGTCACCCATGAAAAATGGATTTGTAGCCCAAATCTATATCACCTGAATAGTCAAAATAACTGTAGCCATGAACCTATGTAGTCTTGGACTGGCAAGACTTTAAGGTACTTGGAAGAAGTAAACACAGATCTTTTCATCCCAGTTTCCAAAGAATTACCAAAGACAATTTCCCAAGGAAAATGAACAACTCAGACAAAAAAATAACCACGTACCGAAGGAAGCAAGGCTCCGGGAATGAGAACCCGAAGAAACAGCAGAAGCAGATCTGCAAGATTTCAGATATTGGAATTATCAGATACAAAATATAAAACAACTATTTAGAAGGGTAAAAAGATAAGGATGATAGTATCTGCAGGGAACAGGAAAATGTTAAAACAAACAAAAAAAAAAACAGATATAGAGACTTAACAGATTGTAAAAAGAAGGAAGTATCACATTTAGAAATGAAAAACATAATTGAACACTCTATGAATCTGTATAATAGTAGATTAGACGTAGTTGAAGAGAGAATCCATGAACTGGATGAATGCAGCAAAGAGAAAAAGGAGATGGAGACTATCAAAGAGAAGTTAAGAAATAGGGGAGATAAAATGATAAGATCTAATATACGTCAAATCAGAGTTCCAGAAGGAGAAGCTTAAGAGAATGAGACGGAGGCAATCATTTAGGAAATAATGGCTAAGAATTTCCAGACCTGAAAAAAGATTTTAATCCATCATTTTGAGACACTTAATGAAACCCATGAAGGTTAAATAAATAAAATTCACATGTAGATTCCTCAGAGTGGAGCTTGGGAACACCAAGAACAAAGGGAAGATTTTTAAAGCTTCCGGAGAAGGAGGAAAACAGGTTATAATCTACTCAAAAGAAAAATGTAGATTAGCAGCTGACTTTCAGCAGCAGCTGTGGGAGCCAGAAGATAGTAGAATATTTTAGCATATTGTCGATTAAAAGTAACCACCAATTTAGAATTCTGTAGTGAGTAAAAATGTCTTTCAAGAATAAAATAAAATTAAGGCTATTCATATAAAAAATAAGAAGAAAAAAATTTGCCATTCGCAGAGCCTTCACCAAAGGCAATGCCAAAGGTTGTACGAAAGGGAGAAGGAAAGTTATTCCAGAATGAGGAACAAAGTGTATAGACAGATGAAGAGCATAGAAGCTGGGAAGTATATCAGTAGACAAAATAAATACTAACTGCTTTAAGCTGTAACAATAATGTTATTTGAGATTTTAAAAAAGGTAAAATTTAAAATATGAAAACACCAACATCTAGGTCAGGGATTGAATGGATTTTAAAGTATTTTAACATCCTTGTACAGTCCTGGAGGATGCACTGGTTAATGTAGTGCACTGGTAATGTAATGCACTGGTAATGTAATGCACTGGTAAATGATAGTTTTT